GGAGACTCGTGGCATCCTCAAGATAGATCGTCAACGAGAACGTGATCCGCGATGCTTTCATTGCTGCAATGTTACTCTGATTTCAATTCAATCAATTTCAGTTCTAATTAAAAGAAAAAAAAAAAAAAAAAAAAAAAAAAAAAAAAAAACCTCATCACCCACTTCCTTTTGTCTCCGCCGTTTGGGAAATCAAGAAAGCAATTCCGACAAATGTTGGTGAAGAAATCATCCAAGGACCGCCACACGAAGGTGGACGGGCGAGAGCGGCAGATTTTGATGCCGGGGAGAAATCTTGCGTTGCACGCGCCCAAGGAGAACGCTTTGGCGATATTTCACAATTTTTACTTTTCGCTATTTTTGACAGCGCAGTACTTCGCTGACGGTCACAAATCCGATAATCTATTCTGTTCATTAGTTTCGTCTCTCTGATACGGTTATGGAGGTGGGTCAGCCACCTCCAAAAGTGGTGGAGGAAGCGTTCGCTCATGTCCGAGACATTCTGCCCGACTTACGTAGCAAGGGTTACACTTTGCCAAATTCAGCGATCAAGAGGTTACAGTCCGGCGATGGTCGATCGACATACTCCAGAGCAGTCGCCTGGTCCTAGCATGATGATCGCCAACATCAATTTAGCGATCGGCGTCCAGCTGCGAATTCTCGCATCGCGATCTGTCCTCGTCGCTGGGTGCAATTCTAGCGATGTGGCTTTGCATGGACGACCGGAAGATGTAGTTCGTGACAGGGATGTAATTGAAGGTTGAAGCCATAGCTGAAAACAATGGCAAATGACATACTTACCCCCTCTTTTGATTGGCCACACACACACACACACACACACACACACACACACACACACACACACACACACACACACACACACATATATATATATATATATATATATATATATATATATATATATATATATATATATATGCATATTTCTATGCCCGTTGTAGTGAATTGACTATTGGCCTAAGACATACATGCATGTTTCTTCGCCAATATCCTCCGGGCGGCTCCTTGAAGACTCCAAACTATTTACCCCTCCAACCCGGAGACCGCCCTTCTGTATGTATGTATGTATGTATTGGATCAAATGAGAACAAGTCCTTAAGAGTGAAATAAGAACCAATTTCAGCCTTACATTTGGAAAAATTGGACGAATAATGTCAAATTTAAATAATAAAAAAAAGCAGTGACATTATTTTCCTAATTATCACCAACTTTACTATGCAAACTTTAACAGAAAATATGTAACTATCACACTTTTTCAGGTTTGCACATTTAGTATTAAAATTTTACATATTTAGCATTAAAATATTGCACTTGCAAAAATGCGAAAGTGCATTACAATATTGCACTTAGGGTTTCGATTTTATATTCTATGACTTAGTTATTGATTTTATTTAGTTTAGTTGTTCACTTTTTAGTGTTTAAGATCTAGCATTTATGGTTTAAATTTAAAATTTAGCTTTTTCATTGATTTTATAAAATTTATCATGTTTACACATTTACTTATTAAAAATGGTATACTTAAGTGTTCAAATTTTTATATTGAAATTGATGATAATTACTAAAATATTACTCTATATACATACATACATACATACATATATACATAATACATACATACATACATACATACATACATACATACATACATACATACATACATACATACATACATACATACATACATATATATATATATATATATATATATATATATATATATATATATGCCAAGATTTTGTGGTTTAATGGCACTCGGGTTAGACTCTCATATGGGAGGTTGTGAGTTCGAGCCTTAGGAGAGGCGTTATTGGGTCTTTGTAATTTTTGCAGATGTAAAACTGGGAGCGTTATGCTGCAAGGTGGGCACGGTTATAGATTCATAATGTCTATACTGTTGATTCATAATTTCTAAACCGTAAATTCATGTAATAGAGCTATATGTTCATAATTTTCGATGTTCATATATCCAATTGTTGAATTTTGTATTCACAAATCACAGAACTATATGTTCATAATTTGATAACTATACAGTTTAGAAATTATGAATCTACAGTACAGATATTATGAATCTGCAGTACAGAAATTATGAATCTACTGTTTTTAAATTATGAATCTACTGTATTTAAATTATGAATCTACGATTTGGAAATTATGAATTTACAGTATAGATTTTATGAATCTACAGTATAAAAATTATGAATCTACAGTATAAAAATTATGAATCTACAACGGTGCCCACCTTGCACGATGGGCACGTTTTCACAGCATAATTTGCCTGTAAAACTGAAACAAGTTTTTTTTTCTCTTCTTCAAGACAAAAGCGAAAGTCATTATATCGTAGACCGCGGTGCACGTGCAACGCGGTCAAAACGGCGTCGTTTCTTTAAGTAAAACAAAGGGCGCGCCGTTATAGTTAACGGAGTAGGCATATTTGGTGTATTAATTATCAACTGACACTACAGTGTATTTAAACCGATACTGCCGTATTATTTTATATATTATCAACTGAAACTGCAATTCAATTGAAGTGAAACTATAGTTGTGTTGAAATGAAAACATAGTGTATCTAAACTGACACTGCCTCACATATTATTTTTATATTATCAACTGAAACTGCAATTGAATTGAAATGAAACTGTAGGTGTGTTGAAATGAAACTGCAGTGTATATAAAATGAAACTGAATAACATTTCACATTTTTAAGTGTATATTATGTAATGAAGCAGTAGTTATATCGAAATGATCATGTAGTTGTGTTTTAATGAAACTATGGTGTATATATAAAATAAAATTAAATAACATTTTCACATATTTGGGTGTTATAATATCGAATGAGACTGTAGTTATATTGAAATGAAACTGTAGTTATATCGAAATGAAACTGTAGTTATATATCGAAATGGAACTATAGTGTATACAAAATGAAACTGAATAACAGAGTTACTTTTTGCGGAATGACGCAGAACAACGCGAAACAGATGACGTTTCTTTTCATTAAATAAAACGACGTCGTTTTGACGCGCGGTGCATAATCGATTATGCAGGTGCACGATATAATTTACCCAAAAGCGATGACTTGCCTACGGAATATATTGGCAAATTATATCATGCACCATGGTGCATGATCAATCATGCACCGCACGTCCTTTTTTAAATGAAAAGAAACGGTGTTTGTTTTCCGCCGTTTCGCACCTTTTCGCAAAAAGTAATCCTATTATTCACTGTCATTTTGTATACACTGCAGTTTCAGCTCAACACAACTACAGTTTCATTTCGATATAACTATAGTTTCATTCGATATTTATAGACTCAAATATGTGAAAATGTTATTTAATTTTATTTTATACACATTATAATTTCATTAAAACACAACTACATGATCATTTTGATGTAATTACAGCTTCATTGTACAATATACACTCAAATATGTGAAATGTTATTCAGTTTCATTTTATATAAACTGCAGTTTCATTTCACTATAACTACAGTATCATTTTGATATAAATGCAGTGTCGGTTTAAATATACTGTAGTGTCAGTTGATATTTAATACACCAAACAAGCGGACTCCGTTAACTATAACGGCGGACCATTTCTTTATTTAAAGAAACGGCGCCGTTTTTTACCGCAATGTGCATGCACCGCGGTCTATGATATAACGACTGGAATATATTATTACGGATTTACGGAGTATTTATTAGTGTAAAGTCATTATTTTCATAAAGTACAATTAAACCACAATGCTTACCACGCGCCGGATTTACGGAGTATTTATTAGTGTAAAGTCATTATTTTCATAAAGTGGCTTATGGTCCACTGGTATTGAATTGCTCCCTTATGTGGGAGATTTAAGTTTTGAGCCAAGTTGTAGGCGTAGTTTGTACGGGTATCCCCTCCCTTTGTAAAAAAAAAAAATAATAAAGTCATTATTTTCATAAAGTACAATTAAACCACAATGCTTACCACGCGCCACGGAGAAGCAAGTACATATATAATGTCGAAAGGCCCAAAATCACATGGACTGATGCTGTTGATTTATACCCAATTAGATACTTATATATAGGAGTATTGAGTGAGATGAAATTATTCAAATAATATGATACTTGTGAAATTAGAACAATTAATCATTTTCAGGCAGTGGCCGGTCCGGGGGATCTATATACATATATATATATATATATATATATATATATATAAGTATTGAGATACATCTAGATTTAAAAAAATTAAATGTAACAATTAACATGTCAACAATTTACACATGTAATTAATTATTGATATAGTAATAAATTATTAATTTTAGAAAAGGATCATTTATTATTCTTTCTACTACCATATATATATATATATATATATAATAAAAGTATTGAGATACATCTAGATTTAAAAAAAAATGTAAAAATTAACATGTCAACAATTTACACATGTAATTAATTATTGATATAGTAATAAATTATTAATTTTAGAAAAGGATCATTTAATATTCTTTCTATTACCATATATATATATATATGCCATATTAATATGTGTGGGGGTAATAATTCATTAGGACAAAGTACTAACTAATAGCTGACTAAATTACTATATTTGTGACATTACTATAGTGCAAATAGGTACTAGTAATTTCAACTGTATAACTATAGCTGACTAAATTACTATATTTGTGACATTACTATAGTGCAAATATGGTTCTAGTAATTTCAACTGTATTACTATAAATGAAAATTGCATCTCAATCAACCCAATAAAAATTTAAAAAATTTGATTTGTTATCAACGGCATGGTTACCTCATCCACTAGCCTTCTGGGCATAGATGATAAGAGACATTGACCAGCCCCAATCAAAAGAAAAAACTATCAATCTTACTATGTTTACTATATATTACCACATTACTATATCACCATATTTGTCATAGCAATGTGAAGTATCTTAATTTGCAAAATGTATAATGTTGTTGATTGTCATAGCAATGTTAAAAAGCATGTCAACATCCAAGCAAAATAAAATCACAAGTAAATTACAGTCGAAAAAAAAAAATTATCACAGGTAAAACCACAGTCGAGATTACAAATGTTGATGGGCTCTGATAATGTAAGATGTTGAAACAAAAACAGAACAATTAGCTCTGTTGCGCCACCTTCAGGCATCAACCTATTTCCTCAAAGTCTGCATAATATACTCGGCATAGAGGTCCCTGCAAAGAATGCCACAACACTCAAAATCCACTGCAGATGAATTGAATCATCTCACACCCACATTGATATGGATTTCCGCAAATAATGATGATATGTAAATCTTACATGGAGTACTTAATAGCCTCAAAAGCAGTATCCGAAGGCAGGAACTCGTTAACTGCGACCTCCTTGTTCTCGTTCTTCTTGTCTGAAGAAAAGACAGATTCAAGAAAATGTTGTTATTCTACAAGTAAGAAAGGTGTTCATGCCTTCACGGTTCAATACAAATTGCTATAGATTATAGAGAAGAGCATACAATCTTCAAAGAAACGACGGATTTCAGCTAAACGGTGAGGGGGTAGCTGGCTGATATCAGTGTAATGGCGATATTCAGGGTCATCTGCACATACTGCTATAATTTTATCATCCTTCTCGCCCTATAACAATCATCAAAGTTTTCCGCATTAATATTCACCATTACATGATTGGAAGGTTTAATGCTTAGGGATGAAAAGAACCTGATCAATCATTGGCATTAGCCCTATGGCCCTAGCTCGGAGAAAACAACCAGGAAGAACAGGCTCCTGTATAAAATGTCAATCTGTTTAGCCTATCCACATTCATTAATCTAACTCAAAACTGCAACATTCAACATTCATTAAACCAAAGCTGAAACTTCAATAACCTGCATAAGGACTAACACATCCATTGGATCATTATCTTCACATAGCGTTCTAGGAATGAATCCATAATTGTGAGGATAAACCACTGATGAATACAAGATACGATCAACCTGCAAGTAATCCGTCGAAAAATTATAGTATGAGAGGACCAGTGACTCATTCAAACACTTTGATCTGTTTTAATGAAGTTGTCATATGCATAAAACATGTGTATATTCAACTGAGATGCAGATATCAGATAATGCACTATCCTACCTTAATCAGACCAGTTTTCTTGTCAAGTTCATATTTGACTTTGCTCCCTTTTGTAATCTCAATAACCTGTAAAAAATGCAGCACAAAGTCACAAATCAATGCAGCACAAGGTATAATCTAGTCATAATATCATCTTCATCATCTTAAGCTTAGTAATGGAAGAAATCTGCCAATCATCAATCAAGAAAATAGGTGGAAATCCAGTCCACATAAAAGCAGAAACACTACTTACAACATTGAAAGTTTTTGGTGCTTCAGCTCCTACAAATAAAACAAAAATAATTAATGGAAACATTGTTAGGATACTTATAAATTGCCATCACATTTTTTAGACTTGACCCTTTATTGGGCTCCGCCCAAGAATCCCCTAGCCACCAATTGATTCTCCTCCCCTGACTAGTTTTTTTTTTTTTTTTACCTGGCTCTAATATATCTTATTAAGATCAAGCCCTTACCACTGTACCAAAAGTTATAAGTCGTACTTTTTATTTTCTTATAGACAGCCATCACATTTTCAAGAGGACAGACGGCTGGACTGAGTCCCTTCAATCCCCTAGTGGACTTGGCCCTTTACAGGCCTCCGCCCAACAAACATCAAATTTAAGCAGAATAAAATAGTCCTGGAGGAGAAGAATCATCACCTATCTCAAGATCGTGCCAAGGATGAGCAGCAACAGATCTTCTGGACATAGAAGAGAGGATCCTCTCATTCAGACGAGGAGTCCGCTTTTGTGGAAATGCAGCAACTTCATTGGATTGGCTCATGTTTCACTGATTACTATAAATAAATCAAAACACACCAAGGATTAAACAAAAAAGTTTCTCTATATAAACCGAAGCTGCAATCTTGTGCAGATACAAATACAACATCAATTCACCAAGAAGAGCTATATATAAAGATGGAAATGGAACACTACAGCATGTCATATTTATAGTTTTTGAGCATATTACAATTCAAAACAAAAACTTAGGAGAAAAATTTAAGACTTGAATCATGCTAAAACAATATAACTAAGGAAACAACAACAACAACAGGTAACACAGAAAAAAGGAAAAGAGCAGAGATAGGAGAAGGGAGCAGTAATTGACCTTGTTTTCAACGAAAATGGCGTAACAGGTGGTGAAAGTAGGTCAAGGTAGAAATGCAACTGCGAGATCAATTCGGTGTCGTTTACTATATAAAAAGAGGTGGGAGGTGGGTGCCAGGCCGCCAGGGGGAGCAGACAAGTAACCACGTTCTCACGCGTAAACACACGTACTCCCTACTCAGCACCCAAATCTTAAGGAATCCTGTCACCAATGTCCAATAGTTATTGACTTGTGTGGATCACGGTCTAAAAATAACATCAATTTAAATAATTTTTTTCATACAAATCACTGCAACATATATTTTTATAACTCATAATACATATTATTCTAAAGTATAATATGTACTATTCTAAAACGTAATGTACATTATTCTAACTCATAAAGTACATTATATTATCCCAGAAGTTTCATTATTCTAACACACAATGTACATTATTCTAACACATGTTATACATTATTCTAACATATAAAGTACATTATTCTAACTCATAATGTACATTATTCTAACTCATAAAATTAAACGACGTCGTTTTGGACCGTGATTTTCACAACTGTGTGGACCGTAATTTCCCCCAATCACCTCAAGGGCTCAAGGTCAATATTGACCGAGTCTATCGAACCTTGCATTAAGAAATAAATATATTTAAAGTAACTCTCATGTAAGATCGTCTCTCATATTTTTATATGTAAAAATGGTCGAGTCTATATAAAAACGTAATATTAAGATGAAAAATGCAAAATATTAATCAATAATAAATTAATTGTTACTCTTTATAAGAAAAAGTGTAATACTTTAAAAAACAAATGTAATATTTTTTTTTAATAAAGGGAGGGTACACCCAAGGTTGATGTTGTTACCAAGAAAGCCAAAATCGTCATCTCTAAGAAACCTCTTCATGTTCACTATAGCATGCTCGTAAATGCGTTTCTCTATTATCCCTTGGGATATGCCATGCTAGAAATAAAGTCCGCCAATCTATTTTGTTCCCTTGGGATATGCCTGAACTTGAATTCCCATTTTCATGTCTTGGTGGCTCTGCATAGTTCAACTAAATTCCTTCATGGGCCTTCATAATCATCGTTCCTGCTAATCAGGTTGATAGCTTTGACGTTGTCGGCTTCAATGATAACTTTGTTGGGAACCCAGATTCCTTGCTTGCTTGAGGCCATTGTAAATGCCCCAAAGCTCTGCTTCCAGCGGTCCGCACCATCCCAGCTTGTTGGGGAACGACATTAAGAATTCGGATTTCTCATCCTTGATGACACCTCCGATCCACAAGTCGCTCCATTTTTCCTTCTGCTGCAGCTGCTGTCAATATTCACTTTAACCCAGCCATTAGGTGGTGGTGTCCATGGATTGCTCCTCCTAATTTCTCTGTTCGTCTGTCCTACCGGGCCTGAACTTCTCTCTAGGGCAGCTTGAGTGTCACTAAATTGCTTCTGCAGCCAATCAATTTTATCTTTTAGTTGGATTTCTCCAGCGTTGAAGACACGGTTGTTTCTCCATGATCTCCATATCCACCAAGCGATTGTGGCGAATCTAGCGTTACGCCGGCTTTCTCATGTTGCCCCTCTTGTCCCCTGTCATGTTAGTGCTTAACCAATTATCGAAGTCAATATGAAAAAATTACCTTGAGTGCTAGTCACATTGATCCTTTCCTAGATTTCTTTGGCTGCTGGACATTTCCTAATAACATGGTCAACATCCTCCCTTTCTGCTCCACAAACACTACACCTCTCATCGTGTGTGAAGCCTCATTTCCTCCTCTCTGCGTTACACATAATCTTTCTTTGCTTGATGAGCCACATGAACGTGGGAATTTTATTAGGAACTCTTAAGCTCCGGACTTCCTCCCAGCCCTCTTTGTTTCTCCTTCTTTTATCCGAGTTTGCGATTCTATATGCTGACATTGTAGTAAACATGTTTGTATCACTTTGTTTCCATCCCAGAGTGTCGCCCCTATCATTGTCGCGTAGGAGCACTATTGTCGCAAGCTGGCTCCGTTTTTCGTAATGTAGAGCTATCTCGATACGGTCCCAGTTCCGCGTTCCATTTTCTCCCCAAACCTCGGCTACCTTCATGTTTTCTTCATTTTTATTCAGAGGCCCAATCATCCATCTTCTGAGATTAGAGTCACCAAGCCAGCATTCAGTCCAGAACAGAGTCTCATGCCCGTTCCTGACAATCTTTTTCGATCCTGCTTCGAGTATTTTTTTCGAGGCGCATATTCCTTTCCACAAGTTCGAGTCATTCCTTTTCCTTTTCATTGCCGCAATACTTGCCCCGTCTTTCATGTATTTCTTGGTCATTACCTTGGCCCAAGTCTTCTCATTCTCCTTGAGGATCCTCCATCTCATCTTCGCCAGAAGGGCTCCATTCATTTGGCGCATTGATTTAATGCCGAGTCCTTCCTCCTCCTTTGCTTGGGTAACAGTACTCTAGTTAATAAGACTGGTTTTTCTGTTTTGTCCATCACCACCCCACAGAAAGCTACGTGTTTGTTTGTCGATGGCATCGTAGACACCCCTAGGTATGACCATCGTCTGCATTGCATACCAAGGAATAGCATTAATCACAAATTGAATTAGAACTTCTCTACCTACCAAACTTAGGTATTTCGTCATCCATCCTTCTAGTCTTCCTCGGACTCTTTCCAAAATACTTTTGCAATGCTCAATCCTGATTTTTCCGTGAAGGGAGGGTACGCCTAGTTACCTCCCGAGGTCGTCCATTATTGGGATCCTAGCTATTGCCGCTAGTCTTTCGGCCTCTGCCCTGTCCATATTATTCGAAAAGAACACATTAAACTTACGTTTGTTTATTTTTTGGCCAGAGGCCATGTAGAACGTGTCAAGACAATTCACGACAGTCCTCATTTGGGCCTTGTCTGTTTCGACAAAAAGGACCATATCGTCCGCAAAAAAGAGATGGGAGATACTTGGTCCTTCGTTCACCACTTTAATCCCCTTCCAGAGACCTCGGGCCACCGCATCGGTGATGATATGGCCTAGTTTTTCAATGCATAGAACAAAAAGGTAAGAGGATATAGGGTCTCCCTGTCTAATTCCCCTTTTTTGTTTGAATGGTTGAGGCTCTCCCCCTCCGATAGAACCGACATGGTGGGTGATTCTACACAATGCATAATGTTTCGAACCAAATTGTTGTGGAACCCGATGTCCTGGAGCGTGTGTAACACCCCCGATTTGTTGTGGAACCCGATGTCCTGGAGCGTGTGTAACACTCCCGATTTCCATACTGATTTAAAGCTTAATAAAGCAGATAAACTAACCATAAAAAGCATACGCAGCGGAAGACTATGCCACGCCCACACAACGGTGAACGCACAGGCGTAAATCACATCAACATAATTTGTATATCCAAGAACAAAGTCAACGACAACAAGTCTAAAGTCTATCAAAGGCACACAGGCCAAAACTACTACACGGTTCGAGGGATCTACTCTATCCATCTCTAGACCGCACTCGTCTCTACTCGTACCTGAAAGAAACACATAAATATATGGTACGACGCCTGGTCAGCGAATGATGCTGGTAACCCACCAATACATGTGAAATATCATACATAGATAGGATATATATATATATATATATATATATATATATATATATATATATATATATACAAAATCATTTGCGAAACGGGATATAGTATATATAAGTTCAAATCCAAGAGTAGAAGTCAACACAAGACTCTATGCACTCACAACAAAGATAAGGGAACACATCCCAAGACAATAAGAAGCAATAACGACTCATAAGAACGGCTCAAGGCGTATTCTACCATCACTTAGTGGAATAACACCCGACATGCACAACACAAGAGAATAAGGACACAATCATTGGCAACACATGCCTTTGTGACAACACATGTCACAAATAGAGAATCACACAACAATGGCAACACATGCCTTTGTGACAACACATGTCACAAATAGAGAATCACACAACAATGGCAACACATGCCTTTGTGACAACACATGTCACAATTGAGATGCCTTCCTTATGCCCGGTTGCAACCTTTTGGCTACCCCCCACCTTATGTCTAGTTCCAATCCTTTACCTCCAGGACCCCTGTACACCAAGTCCAACCTTTTCCCTCCGAGGACCGTCGTCCCCATCCACCAACAAAACCACCAACGAAATTCCACCAATTCACAGTACACGAGGGTACCAATCACACACATGGCAACACATGCCTCTCCAGAACAAGTGAACCCATCCCTCGGGTCACATCCTCCATAATCACGTCATGGCCACCACGAGGACCACGGCCGTACCTTGGTGACTAATGTCTCATACCATTAATCGTGCAATCCAGGTACAGCCACACACACCACACCACAATAGGAATCAATCAACGGATCACAACGAAGATATGAAACCATACTTAATCAAGGAGTGGATCACAATCCGACAACAATGATGATTAACACAAGTCATCAACCACAATAGGAAAGGACAAACAACGCACACGCTAGCATTTAAACACCGAACTAGCATGCTTATCAAACGGGTAAACCGAACATAGTTCCGAAGAACACACAAGACTCATCATAGTTCAACGAATCACAATGTTGAACACTTAACACGATTCAAGACACCAAAACCTACATGGAATCCTACCATATAGTTCTAGACATACGAAACATCAAGAAGACACTCAAAAGTTCCACAAAAGAACATCAGGAAGTCAAAAGACCAAATACTGAGTCAAAAGAATCACGGGGAATAAATCCCCGCACAACACCAATACTGTACCCGCGGGTGGGGCCACGGGTGGACCCCCACCCGTGGTTTCGCCCGTGGGAACCAAGTTCCTCCACACTCGTACCCCGCGGGTGGAGCGGCGGGTAGGCCACTGCCCGCCGTTCCGTCCGCGGGTACCATGCCCTGTACAAAAACATCTCTTCAGGGATTTTCAACTCCAAGCTCAAATTCAAGTCCAAAACATGCCAAATCTCACCAAATATAACAAAATGACTTGAACCAAAGGAATAGCCAAGAAATGGCATACAAGAACCCTAATAACAAGCTCTAGATATGCATTTTCACAAGACAATGCATCAACACTCACATTTCATAGCAAAAT